TGCAAAAAGGGAAAGAGACTCTCCTCACTCCTTTTTCTGAGAGTATTTCTTTTAGAAACTTAACCATCTTTTTTCTCTGTCCTTTTGAAATTAATATCAACCTTTTTAGGTGAAATAGGCCAGTTTTACAGTTCAGAAGTGTTTCCCATAAGGGCCTGGAGTCACCTCTTTGAAATATAAACGTCAAGGAAGATAGCATCCCATGCCTCAGCCTCCTGAGAGTTTCACCTAGTTACCACTTAGAGCCACACACCTATCTCCTTGACAGAGAGATATGAGACGTTGTATTATTCCTTTGCAGAAGGGCAGTTAGCTAACACCAGTGGCCACTCCACTTATCGGGTAGATTTAGGACAAACTCCGTGTGACAGAAGGTACTGTGACGTCTTCCTAAGAAGTACGCTTGTTCAATAGATATATCGCCATGGGGTTTTGTAGCTGGGAACAGACTGGGCTCAACTCCTAACACAGCAAGGAAAAGTGGGGATTTTGTAGCCAAGGAATAAGGTGTGAGGGCAGGGTTGGAGGATGGGAAAGTACAAAGAGGAACGGGGGCGGCTAGGGGGGATTCTGGCTAAACCAGCCTAACAGGAGTTTTGCTGAAGGCAGGCCTGGGTGATCAGATGGTACCGGGTAGGGACTTTGGTCAGATATTGAGGGTGGGGGATTCTGGCTAAAGTGAGTTAGCAAAAGATTCCTGATAAAATTGGGCTCTTGCAGACATGGCCAAGGACAGGACCTATTCAGGCTCAAAGGAGCCTCCCTCACGTTCGGTCGAGGAGAGATCTTGGTCACTAGCTATCTTTAGCTCTGCAAAAGGGTGGGATTTCTTTCTGTCTCACCGTCTCTTAGCAGATTGCCTGAGATGTGCATCACAGTCTGGCTTAATGCTTACTCAGTAATAAAACCTGTCTTATTCTTCTGTGGAGATGTTTTCTGGATTGGTGGGAGATTTTGTTTCTGATTTTTTCCCCAGCATCCACCAGGTAGGTGACTATCCTCTGTACCATGCTACCCGCTTTAAGAGTTAGAGGCTGCAGGGCCCAAATTGGGTCTTTTTGCCTTTATTCTTTTTTTCCCTGGCTAGTGTAATATTTTCCAGCATTTGTGTATCCATTTTCAAATGTCTGCATTTTAATAGTTTTTGTGGCCATTCTATTGTTAAAGCAGGAGTGACAAAGTCAGGTTCCTTTAGGATCTGGATGGGGACAGTGAACAAAGCCAGCAGGCGGGCAAGGACTAGGAAGGTGGGCCAGGCCAGCTGCTGCCTGCTCCGGGCAGAGTCTTCAGGAGAAGCTGAAAGTCTGAATTGTGTGAATTTCCTGCCTTTTAAGTCTTGGCAGCTGATTCAGAATTTAAAAGAAATAGCGGGTAGTCCAAATAAAACACATCTGGAGGCTGCTAGTTTGTGCCGTGGTTTAAATATATGGTCACAGTAAACTTAAGGGACTCCAGCTGGGGCCCAGTTGCCTGCCTTTCATAGGGATTCTCAGTGTTAGGGTTATTTTAGTGTTTTCTTAATTTCTGTCTCAAATTTTCCTTATAGTAAAATGCCCTGTTGAAGAAACAACACCAGAAGCTATTCCTTCTCAACACATTCTCTTATGGATTAAACATTTTCAGCACTAGCCACTCCTGAGGTCCCCTAACTCCAGTTAAATGCCAGGCTCATTTGAGCTTTGCTCGCTTTTGCAGTTTTGCTGCTGTCTTTCCTTAGCCATGCTTGTCTCGCAGATCCATCCAAGGCTTTCGCTACCCACTGTTGCTGTCCCAACCACCGTGATTTCTTACTGGGATTAGCCCTGGAAACCACCTCACCTGAGCCAGGGCTTAGCAGACAGTGGCCTGTGGGCGGCGTCCAGCTGGCCAGCTGTTTCTAGTGTTATTGAAATACAGCCGTGCTCGTTTGTTTTTGTGTGGTCTGTGGCTGCTTTCGCACTACAGTGGCAGAATCGAGCGATTGTGACAGAGACCACATGGCCTGCAAAGCCCGAAATATTAGTTATCTGGCTCTTTATAGTAAAAGCTTGCAGACCCCCCGCTCTAAGCCATTCTCCACACTGTAGCTACACGGAGCTTTCAGAAACAATTATATCATGTCACTCCCCAACTTGGGCTCTTTCATTACCTTATAAGGGACCTCTCACACTCTCAGCCTGCTTTTCTCTCAGCTGTGTGCTTCTGCAGTGCAGCCACTCCCCCGCAGTGACACTTAACACTTAGTATTTCAATTGCTTAGCTGTCTTCCTCACTAGACTAAGCTCCGGAAGCTTTGTTCCTGGGATGAGAGGTACACAGTGAATATTTGCTGATTGAATAACTGCTGTTGTTTCTTTAAACGTGTGTTACAGGTACCTGTCTATTGTACTAAAACTGGTGTAAAACATCTGCATCACAAGGCTCAGGAATTTGACATCGGAGTTTATTTTGAAGCAAACGGGCATGGCACAGTAAGTTCTCGTAAGCAGTGGCATCTGGCTTTAGCTGGCACCTCTCTTCAATGATGGAATTCTGTATCTGGGTAGTAATGGGTAATATTCCACTTTGTTGAAATGATTGGGATGGTGATAGAATAAGATTTAGTTAATATATTATTATGTTCTGTGAAACTATGGCTCTTTTAGGTTATAATGATCGAGTGTGAAGAGATAATACTAATTTGTTCCTATAATATAGTTTTTTCAGAAACATGGCAGTTCTTCATTTTCCTACAACCAGATGGTCTATACATCCCATTTAAAATAGTTTCCTTCAACTGGCCATACGTGGCAAAAGGAAAGTTCAGTAGCTGTGGTGAATTGCAAAGTGTTGGAAAGGTTGAGAGTTAAGTTACTAGCAACTAAAAATGAGTTTAAAGTAATTAGAATTGGCATATAAAGTTTTTTATGGCTCTTAGCAGATAAAATGTTTAAAGGTTTGAGATATAATTTGCGTATCGTAACATTCACTATTTTAACGTATATTAATAGGTCTTTAGCATATTCATAACGTTCAGAATATTTCTTTATTAATTTTTTTTATACATAGCCTCATTTCATAAATGGATTTGAAGTGGCTAACAGAAAATGTTATCTAGGTCAAATAATTTTCATTAATTCAAAACTGGCTTCTAGAGGCCATGAATATGAGAAGAAAAATGAGTTCCTAGAAAATGCAATTAAAATATAACTTCAGTGGTCTAATGCAGGGGTTGGTAAATTATTTTGAAGGGCAGATAGATAGTAAATATTTTAGTCTTCACAGGCCATAAGGTCTGTCGCATCTGCTCAGGTCTCCTGGTGGAGGGTAAATGAATGGACGTGGCCGTGGTTCCAGAAAACAAGTGACCAGTGTGCATCTTAGTTTACCAGCAAACTTCTTTGTATATCATCAAGTGGCTGAATGTAGTGCAGCTTTTCCTCTTTAGTACTGGGCCTCCGAAGGCACTCAAATCATGAAATCGTGCATGGGCAAGGCAATTCAAAAGGGCAGGAATCCTGAGCAACATCATGTTTATGATACTAAACATCCATGGCACTGTTTGCCATAATGTAATATATAAGATGAACCTCTTTTCTACTTTGGCTTAGTTTATGTCCTTAAAAATTTAGGACAAGAAAACTGTACTAATTGCAGTGTTATATTCTTCAAAGTAAAATGGATACAGATAAGGCTTATTAAGGAACCCTGGTTGCCCAGCACTGGTTTAGCTGGCTGAGGGCAACATCATAAACTCGCCATGTGCATTCTCCTTTGCCAATGTGATAGTTTATTTGTAATCTTTATATTTTGATAACCCAGTTTTATAATCCGTACAGGAACTCCCCCCACCCCCCTTGTAATATCTTCTGGGTTCTGATTTGGTCTTTTATACTAGTTTTATACATTCTAAGGCTGCCATTTTCCCCTCAGTTTGTCCAGTCATTGAGAGTTTCAAAAGCAGGTTAATTGGGATGATCGTACGCAAGACTGGGGCATAGATAGTGTTTTCTGATTTTTGTTATGCTTTGATTGTAGGTTCTGTTTAGTAAAGCTGCTGAAATGAAGATAAAACAGCTAGCAAAAGAATTAGAAGAAGATAAGAAAAGGAAAGCTGCTAAGATGCTTGAAAATGTGATTGACTTGTTTAACCAGGTCAGAACTGAGGGGTTGGTGGACTCTTGGTTACTTTTACATTATTCAGGAGGTGGACAGAATAATGTGCTGTATAAAACATCAAAGTGGAGAAGTTGTGGCGGCTTCCTTGCAACAATTTAGATTTATACTGAAATGCAGTGACAATGTTTATGTGCTTCATATTTTCAAGTAATGAGTAGCTTATAGCTGGAGTCAACAGATTCAGCTACTAAATGTATCTAAGCATATGTTTTGAAACCAGCCTTCTCAAGGGAATTCAGGAAAAATAGTCTCTGACAAGGCACATATGTGGGTCAGATTATTGGGATTGGAGTGGAGAATATGGCAATGGAAGAGCAAAGTGTAGGTCAGCGGAAAGCAATAGAACTAATGTTTGAGGGTCCTGCGCATATTGGGCACTTTCCATACCTCACTGTGTAATCCTTAACAGTAACAGAGGGAGAGGGGTCACTATAATTCCTGTTTTATAAATGAAGAAACAAAGACTTACTTAGAGCGACTCAGTGGCAGAGTATGGATCCAACTTTAGGGGTGTCTTACCACCAAAGCTCCTATTTCTCCACTTTACCATGCATGAGGCCTTCCATCATCGTGGCATAGTATCTCCAAAGGGATCTAGTTGTAAGTAAAATTTTGAGTCATACAGTGTTAATGCTGGAACCTTAAGCGTTCGTTACACTTTACAGATGAGCAGGAAGAGTAAAGGCAGGCTCGTCTCAGTTTCTTGGTAGACCTGTTCCTGCTGTCTTCCATGGATACCTTTTTCCCTCATTGTAGTTCGTATTTACCCCCGTCAGTCAGTTATCTGCATTGGGGGCGGGGGGGTGGGGGGTGGGGAGGGCAGCCAGGACATGGTGATTGGTTTTCTGAGACAGAAGCATTCATGTCCACGCTCTGCTTGTATTCTGCTTCTGCATCTTGCAGGCAACTGGTGATGCTATTTCTGACATGCTGGTGATTGAGGCAATCTTGGCTCTGAAGGGCTTGACGGTACAGCAGTGGGACGCCCTCTATACAGATCTTCCAAACAGACAGCTCAAAGTTAAGGTGTGAGCGAGATTTTAAAATTACTTCTTTTCTGAAAATTAACTAAAACAACTGCATTCTATAAATAGATATTGCATAGAAAAGACTATTTTCTCACATCTTTAAAAATTACAGAATCGCTCTTAACCATTCTATTGTCATTTAGAAGTATCTGGTTTCCAACTTTACTATAAGTGATATTATGTATCACTTAAAAAGATTTTATTATAAAAAATTTAAAAGATACATGTGTAGAGAGAACAGATTTCAACAGGTGTCCTCCATGTCCCTAATATTATTTTGAAGCGAGTCCTGGATAGCCTGTTGAGTCAACTGTAAATATTTCCTCTGCATTATTCTTGGTTTACAGAGTACTTCCGGAGGCTAGATGCTGACAGGTAGAATCTGTGGGCTGAAAGAGAATTTTTAAAGGCATTTCAGATAAATTGCTGGTTGATTTCTATACAGATTTATACCAGATTACACATTCACCAACAGAATTTTTGAAAGACAGAGATATGGAAGCCAGAGCTCACAGAAACGGCTGCCGATTGTTCAGATCAGTTTTTTCCGGAGATCCTTATGACCCTCTTTTTTTTTTTTTTTTTTTTTTTAATACCTAAGATTATTTGATCAATGACCAAGTCACAGTACTTACTGGCCATTATTTTAGCAATAACTATAATACAGTCTGTGGAAATCTCAGTGCCGTACACTTTGTGGTACAGTAAGCTGAAATGTGGGTCTGTTCCTGTTGATATGAAATGGCCATAATCTTTTGGTGGGAATTATGTTGAATGGGTTAAGCTTGTGAAAGGGAGTGTGATGTGGTAACAAATGAGAAATGCTTGTGCTTAGGTTGCAGACAGGCAAGTTATTAGCACCACAGATGCCGAAAGACAAGCAGTTAAACCTCCAGGACTCCAGGAGGCCATCAATGAGCTGGTAAAGAAGTACAGGCTTTCTCGAGCTTTTGTCCGGCCCTCTGGTACGGAAGACATAGTCCGAGTCTATGCGGAAGCGGACTCGCAGGTAAGCTGGGACAATTCTATTGGAGGAATGTGCAGTGAGAGTCTAACGTAGGTGGAGGGCAGGCAGCAGGAGAGAAAACTAATGGTGTTGGAATCTCTAATGTGTGAGATTTATGGAGCCTTTTAGGTTCTTATTTTCATCAGTAGTAGTTACACAGTTGAACAGAATTCCCCCAAATATTTTTCAATTTATTCTAGATTTCCTGAAAGTGTCATATTTCTAACTGCTGCATGAATAACTAATACTTAGTGTACTAAACCATACTTAGTTTGACACATATTAAGCATATACATCCTGAAGTGGATTATACCTTTTTCCTTCATTTAAAAAACACCCTGTTGCTTTATGAAAATAGCTGGTTAGTTCAAGTCCATTTCTAAATCAGCTGGTACCGTCATCCCTACTGCTTGAAATTCATCTTTGTCTCTGGACTTCCAATTTGTTTTTCAAAATATTTCCTTTAAATGACAGCCTTGCTCTGTGCCTGTTTTCTTGATAGGGTCAAAGACTTAAAAGTGTTTGCTCAGCTGAGGCAGGGTAGTGTGACTAGGTAAATAGCTCTCAGGAGATATTTACCGTTAACTTATACAGTAGCTTTTCTGCAGAAGCTTAGGCCGTCCCAGAATATACTGAATAAATATCCCGAGTGGATGAGGATGGGGCCTTAAGAGTTACTTACTCTTTAGGCTGGTTGTGGCCTTCTTGCCTTTAAGGACTAGGTTCTATTGAATTTATTCAGAGCTTTAGCATGATAATCAAATCAGCTTATAAAATTAGTTAACTAGGAACTTACCTGATTTAGAAGAATGTGACTTGTTTTCCATTTATCTGAGGGTCTTGTAATTTGTTACTGAAAGATGAAAAAAAGTTCTCATTTGAATATTTGTTAGTGAAACAAAATCAGAAAGCTCCCTCCCCTAAAGTTGCAAGTAACCTGGTAGATGCTGTGTCTTTCTCATCTAATATCCTTTCATGTAATTTGCAGGAAAATGCGGACAGCCTTGCATATGAAGTGAGCTTGGCAGTATTTCAGCTGGCTGGAGGGATTGGAGAAAGACCTCAACCAGGTTTCTGAGGACAATTTTTATAGTTTTTAGAGACTAGATTTTTAAAAACTTTTTACAGGATAATAGTACTGCCATTATTGTGACAGGTTCAAACACATTTATAATCATAAATGTTTAGTCTTCATCTTACTGGATTACTTCTAGATCTGATTATTTTTCTTAAACAAACACTACCAGAATCATTCTTCAGAAATAGGTAAGCCCTTATACTTTGTTAAATTTGTTTTTAAAAAACTGAAATTTACCTCTAATATCAATCACACTAATGTAAAATATTGGAGCTTAAGTATATGATCCAGTCATTAACTTTATAATATATGCAAGGAAGAATTCATGAAGGCTGCTAGAAAATTAAACTTTATTTATTACCAATTCCTTGTGATGTTTTCTCCGCTGTCGTCGCCCCAGTCATTTTGCCGTACTAATATTCACCATTGTTAATACAAACGAGGAGGTTGGAGAAGACTTCATATAACCAATTTTTTCAGAGCAGAGTCTCCAGAACAATTCTTAGATGACTTACCTCTCTTCACTTAACATCACCAGGAATTCAGAGTTGTGACTGTGGAGGCTGTACACACCTCTACTCTGTACCGAGGTTGAGATGCTCGTGCTACACTTACAAGGATGCGTGGCCCAGGCTTCAATTATTCATTACTCCTCTTAGTGAAGGTATGTGGGAGAAACAAGTTGTAATACATTACCAAGCCTCTGACTGACAGAGAAGTGACGGCTTTCTGATACTAGAATGTGGGTTAATAAGGGAAAGAAAAAAATTCCCCAACCAATCTAAATTAAACAAAGCCTGAAACCAATAGAAAAAAATGTGCAGTGTGTATTTGGCAGGTTTAAGACAACTCAGGACAGTAAAACAATGGACCATAATGGACTATTTATGTATATATAGATCTCTCTTAGGCACCATAATCAATATGCGCCCGTAATATTTAAGCTTGATTCAGGCCACAGTCAGACATTCGTTCTTATTTACAAATATTTAAATTAAATACAACCTGAAACGTGTTTCGTTACATACAAAAAAAAAAAAAAAAAAG